AAATTTATCTACATTTCAGGTTCTGGGTAGCTTCTTGCCGTCTGGAGTCCCCAAATGGTAGGTTCCTCCTCTTACTTCTTCATAGATTCGGTAGGGGCCTTCCCAGTTTGGGGTTAGCTTCCCTTGCTCATTCGCCCTACTGACTGCCTCCATATTCTGTAGCAAAAAATCCTCAACCTTCAGGGGTCGCTTGTATACTCTCTTGTTATAGGCTCGAGTCATTCTCAGACGGTAGATCTCATGGCGCAAGGCGGCATTGCCCCTACACTCTAGAAGTGAGTCTAATGCCAGACACATGGCCTCCCAGTTTACCTCTTCATCATACAACATGATCCGAAGAGTCGGCTCATAGTGTTCAATGGGAAGACGGCCTCTGAACCGTACACCATGAGAAATGGGGTCTCTCTAATTTCCCCTTTTACTGTTGTTCTGATGTCCCATAGGACGTGTGGTAACTCATCCGCCCATAGGTCGCCAGCTCTTTCAATCTTCTTTTTTATGCCGTCTGAGATTAACTTGTTGAAGGCTTCGGCCTGGCCGTTTGCTTGGGGTCGGTCGACTGATGCAAAATTGCTTAAGATCCCTTGATCTCCCAATAAGTCTTAAGTTGAGGCGTCTTAAACTAAGGACCATTGTAAAAAACCATAGACATGGGCACCCCGAACCGGGTGATGATATTCTTCCAGATGAAGGAGATGACGTCCTTTGTCTTGATGTTTTTAATCGCCTCTCCTTCTACCCATTTGGTTAAGTAATCTACAGCAATAAATATATACCACCGTCCGACCTGGTGAAGAATTATAGAGCCCTAAGATGTCCATGCCCCACTTGGCAAATGGAATTGGGCTATGAATGGCCGTAAGGTCGGTGGCCGGACAATGGATAAGCTTGCCGAATTTTTGACATTAGTCACACTTTTTCACCAAAGTCATGGCATCTTTCTCCAAGGTAGACCAGAAATAGCCTACCTTCTGCTTCTTTCTGCTAGCATCCTACCGCCTATATGTGAGGCATAAAAGCCCGCATGTAGGTCTTCCTTTCATGTCCCTTTATGGGGGTGATGCAGTTTAAGAGCGGTTGTAGACAACCCTTCTTAAAAATCCCACCTCTGCGAATTTCAAAGTTGGACGCACGATTTTTTAGTGCGGCTGCTTCTAAAGTTGAATCCTGCAGCGTGCCATCTAGCAGATATGCTCGGATGCTTTCCATCCAAGTAAAAGTTCGGTCAAGTACTCCAATGGGATCTTCTTCAATGCTTCGCTTTTCTATTACTTCCCAGAAGACTAACTGAGGTGTGTCGCACGAGGCAGATAATTCTAGCTTAGACAGAGCATCCACCTGGTTGTTTTTGGACCGAGGCACTTGACTCAAATTGAATTGTTCAAGAATCCTGGGTTTAGCTTTGACCGCCTGCAAGTATTTAATCATAGCCGGATGGGTGGCTTCATAATCACCATGGTATTGGCTCACGACCAAATGGGAGTCAGAGCAGGCGTCAATCTTAGTTGCCTTGCTGCCTTGCATAGGAGGATGTAGGCTAGCAGGGCTTCATATTCGGCCTCATTATTTGAGGCTTGGAACTTGAACTGTAGTGCATGCTCGAACTTGTCCTCTTCAAGGGACATATATATAACTCCTGCACCACAGCCGTTTCAAACCTGATCAGTATTATCTGACTCAGCCAGCCTTGTAATTTCAACAATAAAGTCGGCAAATGCCTGCCCCTTTATTGCCTTCCTTGATTTCAAAGTGATTTCTAGTCCTTGTAACTCAATAGCCTATTTGAGCATTCGGCCTAATGATTCTAGGGTCGTAATTGGCCGCTTGATCGATTGGTCAATGTAGACCACACCCGGATGTGCCAAGAAGTAAGGCTTCAACTTCTTAACAACCATGTAAAGAGCGTGGCCAAAATTTTCAACCATAAGGTACTGAAGCTCTGCGTTCCCGAGAACATGTCTGATGAAGTAGACAGGGAGCTAGATGTCGTCTCTTTCAGCTAGGAGAACGGAACTGAGGGCATGATCTGAGATAGCCAGGTACATGTAGAGCGTCTCTTTGGGCAGACGGATAACCAGCCTTGGCAAATAGTGCAAGTGCTCTTTTAATTTTTGAGAGGCCGCCTCAGCATCATCCCCCCATTCAAATCTAGTCTTCTTCCTAATCGCCTGGACAAAGTAGAGGCACTTGTCACCAGACCCACTGAGGAATCTTCTCAAGGTCGTTACAACCTGTTAGGTTTTGTACTTCTTTGACAGTGCGGGGTGACTGCATGTTGATTACCGCCTGTATTTTTTCAGGGTTTGCATTTAACTCCCTCTTGTCAATCAGCAATATGAGAAACTTCCCAGACTCAACACTTAAGACACACTTCTTAGGGTTAAGCATGACCTTGTGCTGCTTGAGTGTGGCGAATGTTTCTCGAAGATTAACAAGGTGATCCGCCTGCTGCTTGGATTTGACTGTCATGTCATCAATATACCCCTCTACGTTCCTCCCAATCTGATTAATGAAGACTGTATTAATCATTCGTTGGAAAGTAGCAGGCGCATTCTTCAAGCCAAACGGCATCATAGTGCAACGAAAAAACCCCTGATCAGTGACGAAAGCCGTCTTTTCTTGATCTTTTTTCCATAGGGGAATCTGGTGGAGGCCTGAGTAGGCATCCATAAAACTCATCATGGCATGTCTGGCTGTAAAGTCGACTAGACTGCCGATCTTTGGAAGTGGATAACTATCCTTCGGACATGCTCTGTTCAAGTCAGTGTAGTCAACGCACATGCGCCAGGTACCATTCAGCTTTGTTACCAGCACAACATTCGCAACCCAATCAGGGAAGTTACAGGAACGAATGAACCCGACGTCTAACAGCTTTTTTACTTCGGCAGCTGTCACTTGACTTCTTTCCTTGCCGTGGTTTCTTTTATTTTTTCGAATGGGCATCTTTTTGGGGGCTACGGTGAGTTTGTGGAAAACAAGATCTGGGCTGATACCTGACATCTTTTCCACTTCAAAGGCAAAGATGTCCTTGAATTCTTTTAGTAGATGGTGCAAGTTTGCACCCATCTTTGCAAAAAGCAGCCTTCCCAATCTTAATAGATTACTCTGGATAACTGTTGTCTAGAAGAATATCAATGTGCTCACCAGCCAACTAGGGATAGAGGACATCTGACCGTTCCCCAGTCAATGATTGATATTGTTTTTCTTTTTTGACCACCACCAGCTGGTCAATTTTTCTTTTCTTGGCGGCTGGTGGGGCCAGATGATCGTCCTTGATTTCATCAAGGTCTATTTGCTCTTTGCCCTGACCGGCTACAGCTGCCGCGGGCTTGACTTTCAAGGGATAACACTCTCAATCCATCTTTTGGTCCCCGTTCAAGGAGCCAACAGTTTGATGTACACATACTATACCATATTTTACCCTCATTTCGTAGCTATTTTCGTATGATTTCTAAGCTCTACGGAGCTATTTCTCGCTTATATCCTCCTCTCTAGTGTAGCTTGGTCTATTTGATTGATTTTGTAGGCATATGAAGATTTTCGGATGATTCGGACATGTTTTGGATAGCCACGAGAGCCTAGTAGGATGGAAGAGATTTTTCCCGTGTCCGCCCTGGAGGGCAACATTGCCTTGGCAGCCAGGGCGAAGAAGAAAAGAGGTTAAAATTTCAACTCCCATTCACCCGGACCGAGCGGCATTGCCCTGGTAGATCGGGCAGCATTGCCCTGGTAGACCAGGCGAGCAGAGTACTGTGCGAGGAGGCGAATTGTTTGTCGCGCCCGACCGGGCGACTTTGCGGAGCTGCTTTTCTATTTTTTCGGGATTTTTCTTAATTAGGGATATAAATACCCCTTTGTAAAGCCCGACTAAAATACTTAATTATTATCTTTGCAGTTTTAAACACCATTGGAACCCTAATATTCTCTCTAGATCTAGTTTACGTTTCACTTCAAGTTTTAATCTTTGTTCATCAACAATGGGTACTTTTCTTCATTCAAGTATATGGTATTCATCTTTATTTCTTCTTCTTCTTCTTCTTCATTGATTATTGTTTTTGCTTTCATTAATATGTGTGAGTAGTTTCTTTATTCCAAGATCTAGCGGAACCCGAATATGATTAATGCATGATTTAATTCTTTAAATTCTCTAATAATAATTGTAATTGATATGCTTAATTGATTACTCTTATGCCAATACTAGATTAGGAATAATTGGTATTGTTATTAATCCTTTGTTTTAATCGCAACGGGAGTTGGGTTTTGACGGATTTGAATAAATCAATTAAGGGTTTGAAGTTCATCACGGGAGTAGTTGAATGGATGATTAGGAAGTTAGAGTAATGTGCTTAAGGTCTTTAATTTACATGAATCCACGGAAGTAGGCTTGATTGTGATTAGAGAAGCCATTGATAACTCGGGAGAGATCATTGGTATTATTCATGGATTACTTTTCCTCTTTAATAAATTAAATTATGTGTTAGGGGTAGAACGACTATTGCATTAATTGTATTCGTGGTGAAGCTTGATCTTGAATGTTTTTAGCATTGAATTGTCATATTGTTTGGATATAATCGTTTTAATTAGTTCTTTAATTATTGATTCTCACTCATTTGTTTTGGTTACTTGATTAGTAATTGCTTGAGTCTATTTGATTAGTTGAACCATAGTCTCTTGGGATTCAACCCTTGCTTGCCAGTGTACATAGTAGTGGTCTAGTTAGGTTTATTTTTGTTAGGTACGCGACACGCCTATCAAATTTTGGCGCCGTTGCCGGGGACTAACGGTTCTATACTAGTTATTTTTTATTTGTTTTTACTAAGCTTTATCTGTTGCTTCGGCTATTGTCTCTTGTGTTCTTAATTTCTTTTCTTTTAGTTCTTTGTTGCATGCAAACTCGACGTTCAGGGTCAGACGATTTAATTCCACTTGATTCTGAAATTGAAGCAACTGCAAGGAGACGAGGAGGTAGAAGAAGAAGGACAAATCAAAACCTTAGAAACATGGTCGATCTAGGCACAAAGTCTCCTTTGGAATATGGCATTCCCGATATCACAACGGGACTCCTCTCTAGCATTGTCGGACCACCCGTTATTGCTCAGAACTTTGAATTGAAGCCACAGTTCATTCAATTCATCTCTAATGATTCATTTGCAGACACACCTCACGAATGCCCTATCAGTCATATTGATAGTATCTTGGAAAAGTGCGATACTATGAAACTAAATTGTGTTACGGATGATGCTATTAGACTTTGCCTTTTCCCTTTCTCATTACGGGATAGAGTGAAGGAATGGTTGAGAGATGAAGGTACTGGCTCTTTTGACACATGGGACAAACTGGTGAAAGCTTTTCTAGTCAAGTTCTTGGGAAAGGAAAAGACTGCAAGGTTGAGAAATGAGCTATCTACTTTCGGGCAGTCAGATGATGAGTCCTTATATGAAGCATGGAGGAGGTTCAAGCGATTGCAGAGACAATGCCCTCACCATGGTATTCTCGAATGGATGTTGATTCAAACCTTTTATAATGGTTTGACTCATGAGTTCCGAATCTATATTGATGCTGCATCTGGGGGTTCTCTTCTGACTAAGAACCCAACTAAGGCAAAGGAGCTAATTGAGAAGATGGCAGCAAATGATAATTACCATTCAGGAGGACAACGTAATGTTAAAAAGGGAGGTATGCATAATGTTGATGCTATAACCCTTTTAACTAGCTCTATGCAGGCATTAACAAGCAAGTTTGACAAGTTCCAAGCAACATCTTCTAGTTCATCTTCTAAAACTTGTCAAATGTGTAATGTACAAGGTCACATTGCCCTGATTGCCCACAAAATTCACATGAGGTGTCAATTGAGGAAGCCAATGAATTCTACACTTCAAATCCCAAAAGGCCATATGATCCTCACTCAAACACATACAATGAAAGTTAGAAACATCATCCAAATTTCTCTTACAAGAATACCCAAGCTCAACAAAATCCAACTCCACCACCACCTCGAAACAATAATTATAATGCTCCATCCGATTTCCAAGCAAGACCACCTCTAGTCCAACAACCTATGCAACCACCTCCACAAAAATCCAACCTTGAGCTAATGCTTGAGAACTTCGTTACCACAACAAACAACAACATCCAACAACTACAAGCTCAGAACAATCTCATGGAAAATCAAATAAGTCAACTTGCTCATCAAGTTGGCCAATCTTTGAAGACTCCGTGTGCTTTTTCGGGTCAAATAGAGAAACCACCTAAAGGACATATGAATGCTATGAATTTGAGGAGTGGAAAGAAGATGGAAGATCCTCCCACAAGGGAGCCATCCAAGGAGGTTGTTGATGAGGTAGTCCCAAAAGAGAAGGTGGTCGATGGTACTGCAACTGAGGAAGAGCCAAAGGAATCAACTCCACCACCACTTATTCCATATGTGTCGCAAGTTCCTTTCTCGCAAAAGTTGGCTCAAGCTAAGTTAGAGAAGATGTATGGAAAATTTCTTAATATTTTGAAGAAGCTTCACATCAACATTCCATTCTTAGATGCAATATCCGAGATGCCATCTTATGCAAAATTTTTGAAGGATATGCTATCTAACAAGAAGAATCTATAGGAGAATGCTACTGTTGCGTTGAATGCAGAGTGTAGTGCTATTTTTCAAAATACACTTCCTAAGAAATTAGGTGATCCGGGTAGCTACTCAATTCCAGTGAAGCTTGGAGATATAGAGATCAACAAAGCATTATGTGATCTTGGTGCAAGTGTGAGTCTCATGCCGCTCTCTATCTGCAAGAAACTTCAAATGGGTGAATTAAAGCCTACGCGCATGTCTCTACAACTTGCGGACATGTCGGTGAAGTTTTCCTTGGGTATACTTGAAGATGTTCCTCTTCGTGTGGGAAAATTCTTTATCCCATGCAATTTTGTCGTGATGGAAATGGAGGAGGATGTACATGTCCCTATTATACTTGGTAGACCATTCTTAGCCACTGCAGGCGCAATCATTGATATGAAGAATAGAAAAATCACTTTTGAGGTAGGAGACGAGAAAATGGAGTATTCACTCTTGAATGCTATAGAAACTCCTTCCATGGGAGAAACTATCTACCAAGTAGATGTCCTTGATGATTTAGAACGTGAGCAACTTCCCTTAATCAAGACATACGATGCATTGGAAACGGTGTTGGTAGGAAGCACTAGTGAGGAAGATTGGGAAACAAGGGAGTACACGCGGCTACTTGAGGAAGGAAAAGCAAATCCAACCACCGCTCTAGTGAAGGAAGTCCTTAGTGTATCAAGTGTTGGGGAGAGTACTACGCCTTCCGAGGTAGAGTTGAAACCCCTTCCCTCTACTCTTAAATATGCATACTTGGTCCTAATAACACTTATTTTGTTATTTTTAATGCTGAGCTTAATGACACAAAATTAGAGCAACTGCTCACTATTTTGAGAAAGTACAAAAGAGTTATCGGGTACACCATTGATGATATTAAGGGTACTAATCCCTCATTCTGTATGCATAAGATAATTTTGAGGACGATCATACCTCCTCCATAGAAACTCAAAGATGACTTAATCCAAATATGATGGAGGTAGTTAAAAAAGAGGTTCTTAAATTACTTGTTGCGGGAATAATTTAGCCTATCTCAGATAGTAAGTGGGTTAGTCCTGTACAAGTAGTTCCAAAGAAAGGAGGTATGACCGTTGTCAAGAATGACAAGGGTGAGGCAATTGCCACTAGAACTGTTATAGGTTGGCGAATGTGTATTGATTACAAGAGGTTAAACAAGGCCACCTGGAAGGATCATTTTCCCCTTCCATTTATTGATCAGATGCTTGAACGTTTGGCTAAGAATTCCTTTTTCTACTACTTGGACGGATACTCTGGCTTCTTTCAAATTCCCATCCGTCCATGCGATCAGAAAAAGACTATTTTCACATGTCCCTATGGCACCTTCGCCTATCGAAGAATGCCATTTGGATTATGTAATGCTCCAGCCACGTTTCAACGTTGTATGATGGCACTTTTCTCAGGTCTTATTGAACATTCAATGGAAGTTTTTATTGATGACTTCTCTGTCTATGGAACATCTTTTCATATATGTCTTGAAAATTTGGAAAAGGTGCTCCATCGATGTAAAGAAGTCAATTTAATTTTGAACTGGGAAAAATGCCCTTTCATGGTACAACAAGGAGTTGTTCTAGGCCATGTGGTGTCAAATAAGGGTATTGAGGTTGATAAAGCAAATATAGAGGTCATTGAGCGACTACCCCCTCCTAATTCTGTAAAAGGAATTCGGAGTTTTCTTGGTCATGCGGGATTTTATAGGCGATTTATTCAAGAGTTTTTGAAAATCGCTAGACCTCTAACTGAGCTTTTGGCCAAAGATGCCCCATTTGTATTTACTGATGCTTGTCTTGAGGCTTTTAACAGGTTGAAGGAAGCATTGATCTCCGCTCCTGTTATGTAACCCTCGGATTGGACCCTACCATTTGAAATTATGTGTGATTCTAGTGACTATGCGATAAGGGTCGTCTTGGGGCGATGGAAGGATAGAAAACTTCACGCTATTTATTACTCTAGTAAAACTCTTGATTCTGCTCAAATGAATTATGCCACGACTGAATAAGAGATTATATAGAGAAGTTTCATTCATACCTTGTTGGCTCGAAGGTGATAATTCACACAGATCACGCCGCATTGAAATATTTGATGACTAAGAGTCACGCCAAGCCGCGGTTGATTCGTTGGGTCCTTCTGTTGCAAGATTATGACATCGAGATATGGGACACAAAAGGGGCTGAGAATTTCGTTGCAGACCATCTTTCTCGCCTCCTTCTCGATAAGGGGGATCGAGATGACCTCCCCATTGATGACTCTTTCCCTGATGGACATTTATTAGCACTTTCTCAAATTGAATCACCTTGGTATGCTGATTAAGCTAATTTCTTGTCCACAGGTACATTGCCTCATGGCTACTCATCTCAACAAAAGAAGAAATTCTTTTACGAGGCAAGGAGACATTTTTGGGAGGATCCATTCCTATACAAAATATGTGCGGATGAAATGATTCGAAGATGTGTCCTGGAAGGTGAGGTAAATCATATTATTTCTCATTGCCATGACTTACCGTGTGGTGGACATGCAGGTCCTACAAAAACAGCCGCGAAGATTTTACAATGCGGTTTCTATTGGCCAACTTTGTTCAAGGTCGTCTATGCATATGTTCAGGCATGTGATCGTTGTCAACGGACTAGTACTATTTCAAGGAAGCACGAAATGCCACTCAATAACATACTCGAGGTCAAGTTGTTTGATGTGTGGGGGACAGATTTCATGGGACCATTCCCTTCTTCCTATGGTAATCGATATATTTTAGTAGCCGTTGACTATGTCTCAAAGTGGGTTGAAGCAATTGCAACTCCAACAAATGATGCTCGTGTGGTAAGTAAAATCTTTAAGAAAGTTATTTTTCCTCGATTTGGATTAAGTTATTTTTTGCAAAATAGAAAATCAAATTTGTAAAAAAACAAAAAGAAGATAAAGAAAAATGAGAAAGGGGTGCCCTTTTCCTCCCCTAGAGTGCTTCGGTCACGATCTTGGGAGCTTTAAGTCAAAACAAGGATCAAGACATGCATAGCTAAGGATCCAAATGTGCCACACAACAAAATAATGAAGGCTAGAACAATGTTACCTCACAAGGGATTAGAACTAGTCAAATACCAACCAAGGGTGTCAAATCCGCTATAGAGAGCAACACCATCTTACCACATACCCGTGAACTAAGGCTTCATGGATTCCTACAAGTTCTTAACCCGACTACCTTAGCATATAATATCCTAGAGTCAACCAATGACACTCTCAAATCGTGCACACATTAACCACTTAGGAAGAAAGGCATTCAAGAGTAAACAAATCAAAAAGATATAATGTCCAATCCAAGTTAAAACAAAGACACAACACCTAATTGCCTTGATCAAAACGAAAATCTTTTTGTATTTTTCAAAAGCATGAAATCATGGAAATGCATATACTCAAGTGCATGGCATATATGAATCAAAATCCCACCAAACATGATAGAATACCCTCCCCCAAGCTTGAATGAGGCAACATGCTCAAACATAGACCAAATAATCCATGGGAGGGAAAAACAAGAAGAAATTAATCCAACATTACCAACACATGATCTTCAAGTCAAAATGAGTAAGAGAGAGGGAAAAGAAGGATATTACCAAATATGGGGAAAATGCAAAATCACACAAAAACCCGAAATAACCTCATAGGATCCACAATCTCTACAAATAAGGCTTGAACTCCACATGGGTAAGTTGAGGCACATTTCCTTGATTCTTGATCATCACCAATGCCCAAGAGTATATCAAGTTGTGTACCTAGCAAGGAACACAAACACGTCCATGAGAGAAAATCTAATCTAAAAAGAAAGGAAAATGAAAGCAATAAAACACGGGTTACTTCCTGCAAAGGCTTGTTTAACGTCCAAGCGAGACCGCTCTAGGAAATAATAATTCAACTCACACAAGAGCTTGTCAAATGCACTACTACACATTTCATGGGGGTGTAAATAGGCAAATGATGGAATAAGAACGTGCAAAATAATCATTGCACGCAAGTGAAGAGGGAGATGCCAAAAGAAACAAGAAGAAGGATCGAAAGGAAACTCAAGAAAGTAAGAAGTAAAAGAAGGAAAAGAAGAATGGAAAGAAAAGGAAAAAGGCAAATCCTTATCACAAAATATTTGGTTGACAAAATTCCTCTCTTCGTCATAATGATGGAATGAGGGACATGAAAATTATCCATAGAGGGTGGCTCCCCAATAGGCTCTTTGAGATAGGAAGGGAGAGAAATAGGGTAAGGAAGGATGTGGTCGAACCTTAAAGAAAAAGGGGTACGAGAAACAAGAAAAGGGTTAGCTACTCCCTCACCACAAGGTCTCACATCGCCAATGAGGGCATGAAAATCTATCATATAATCCTCAAATGAAGGGCACTCACGATCTACACCTCCCTCAAGCTCAAAAACTCCAAGGAAATCAACCTTATCCTCCTTTTCACCACAATAGACAACCTTTCCTTCAACTACCTCAAAATCCAAGGTCCCAAAATCGTGCATGAATGGAGGTAGATTCATCTCAAACTCATCTAAGTCCCAAGAAGCGTTCTCGATGAAATCATCCAATAATCTATAAGTCCTCATATGACTCTCGAAAAATATGTGCGACATTACCTTAAAAGAGTCTATATACTCATAGATTGAAGGGTCACAAACATACACTTGAGCTCATCAAGATGGGAAGAAGGATTAGGATTTTCAAAATCAACACTCTTTTCATTTTAAACTCCTTTACCATCACTCGAATGCTCTATAATGGGATCCTCACTCATATGGGGAAGAGAAGAAGAAGGAAGGGCATTTTCTTGAGAGTTGGCTAGTTGGATAATTTGGCTCTTAAGCATCTTCATTCTAGCTTCCGTCTCCCTATTCTCAACTTCCCTCATCTTGTTATACTTCTCCATCATCTCCATTATCTTCATTATCTTCTCTTCCTTCAAATTTTCCATAGAATTACCCTCATAAAAGGACTCATTAGAAGC